TGAGATTTGCTGTCAGCCAGCACCCAACACTGAGGTTGCACGAAGTTAGTTGCTGGGCCGTTTGGAGTCGCAAGACGCCAAGGGTTCGCACTAGCAGATTTGGCCATGCGTGTCTCACTCCCTGGTTAGTGATCAACGTTTTCTAGAAGTTGAAGACTAAACACATCTCCCGTGTTGCGTACTTTGCTCTATCGACTCTAGTATTAGCTTCCTCTCATCTCCACATGGTCCGTAATGTTCGCTGGGAGCCTGAAGAACTAACGCGATCAAATTCTGGCTAGGCGACCCAGACATTTCATGTGTCACAACTCCTGTTATTCTCAGCATGGTTGTGCCTGTTGAGCCGCAGCCAGCTTCACAGAAAGACTCCGCTTATAGAGGTTCCGAGATGCGGCGCATTACGCATAGTCGTTGATGACTCTTGTGGCGAGCTAATGTTTTCAGTCGGCAAAAGCACCCTTTTTTAGTCAGCACTGCAACTGGCAGCATGAATTGGTGGCGGCAGACCGCAGAACAACACCCTTGGGCATACACCACGCGTTAGACTGAGTCTCGTTTTACTAAAGCATGCATCAAGTTTGTCGATCTAAAACATGGATCAAACCATGCTCTTCGGTGCCATCGTCAGTCACTAGCAAGGACAAGCAGAGTCCAGCATGTTGGTTGCGACGGTATGTGTTGATGTTTTAATAAATCGGATACTGAGATACTGCCTGCTAATTTCGCGATCAACAAATCGGAGCTGGCCGGGTATGATCTCAATGGCCGCGGAAGCTCCCATTAATTTCAAGGCGCACCCACCAATCAGAATAGTCCTCTGGCTGGTTTGAATCGAACCAGACGAGATCTATTGTGGAAATTGCAGGACAAAGGCCAGACCGCGCCTACCCAGAGCAGCACCTTCTGTTTTAACGACTCTGCCGAAAGCAGAGGCCTCCTACAAAAGGAGGTCTTATTTTGGTACATGTTCTGTTTTTCCTTGGCACACCGTCAATGCCTTTCGCGATTCCCCAGTGCTGCCAGTTCCCCTGAGAGAGCGTTAGAGCGGACCCTCGATTTCATGTGCTTCAGACGGTCAACTTGATCCAACCAGTCGGATACAATGTAGGCTCACACCCATCGGAGTCCGGACTATCGTGCCACCCAGAGACAGTGGCCAACGCAGCGCAAAGACTGGCGATGGATAGGCCTGGATAATGGCTCCAGAATCATTGAGGAACGCCTCGTGGAAGCAGATCAAGGGGCGCGATTGGGGTCTAAGCCTCAAGGGATGCAAAAAGCCCTGCCCAAGGCGGTCTAGCTCCACTCCGTACCTGGAGATGCTTCTGGCCAATGACATGCCTCCCTTTGCCTGTTCAAACACAGTCGTCTTCACCTTGTGGCCATTCAGCTTTCATTGCATTCATCGTTCGCCCACTGGGTGGTCGAAAAATGATGACCACAAACTGTATGTACCACCGGTTCATATCCAATTTTTGATATGAGAGAAGACCTTCGAAGTCCTAGTCTGATCATGTTCCAGCCTGTACATATGTACATACATGGCCGCCACGCACTGCGCGTCCTTTGAGGCTACCGCTCGCAGCCCATGCTGGTGTTCTCAACCTCGTGCGTTGAAGGTCATCAACCCCGCTTGAGGCGGTCTTGGTCCAAAAGCTTGGCTCCCCCGCACTATCTTCATGTATACTCACCAATTAGTTACCGAGTTGGGAAACGTTATACGAGACGCGGAGAGAGTGTTACAGCATTCGTGGTCATAGAGCCATCTACGTATCTACATTGTACGAGCAACACGCAAGGCCATGGCCAAAACGCATCGACAACTCTCTTTTATTTGTGTTTCAAGAACTGGAAACCCGGAAACCCCGGCTGGAATGCACAGCCTTTTTGTCCTTGGTAGTCTTTGAATGGTGTTGAATAAGACTTGTGCTTCTTGTCTTGGCGCAGGATAGGTGCCAACCCGGTATTCTTCGCCTTGTGCCGGCATATCTAGCTGCGGAATAATCTCCCGCCCATCGGAATTCACCCTTGCTTGGAGTTCGGAGCCGGACTGGCGTGACGAATGTCAATCGAATTCAACTGCCAGGCAAAGTCCAAGCACTTGACTTTTCGCTTCTGAAACACAAAAACAAAGAACAAGGTGTAGTTGGTTCTCTTTGAGAGGTCTCTTTGAAAGTCCAAGAGGTATGCTTGGACTTTATTCTACAATGCCATGTCCTTGTTGTCTTTCGTGGTCCAACGCAGTTGGCGGCGTGATAAGATTAAGGCTTCCGGCGACTCACTCTTCGGGCCCAGAAATTCTCTTTTTCTAGACTTTAAAGTCTTTTTAGGCAAGTCCAATGATTCAAGTTCGGGGATGTGTTGGGCACAAAATCTCCAAATGCTCTACGCTATCAGTTGGCTAGTTCAAACACCCCCCTTCTCCGACGTTATGCCAATACCATTGGCTTTCTTGGTTTTGCCCTTGTCCAAGGTGGCAGAGGTCTAGCCACGAGGTTGAGCTAATAGGTATACACAATGGAGGAGCTACTCGATTCTCTATCAATCGTACCGTTCCAGGTGGTTACTGGTGCATACAGAATTAACCGGCAAACACACCAAGATGCATCTGGTCTTCCCCGGACCTTCTCTGCCTGCTGACACATGATTTCCCCGCAAAGATGGGGCTTATGGCAAGACCCCAGGGGCGCGGGCCCTGGCATCGTCAGATTTGACGACAACGACCCGAGCTAGCCCTTGAGGTTTTGGCGCTTTTCAATAACGTAACTCGCAGTGCTAGCCCATGCCCAACAATTAAGCGGATAATGGGTGGCGGTCCTCCCATAGTTGTGGCAAACGGCCGGCAAACAAGCTTATTCACAGGAAGAACAAGTTTGGGGGCTGTTTCTCCTCCGCCTGTCCAACTGCCGCAGCGACCAACCAGCTATCGGGGGAGAAAAGGGAGACAACCTCATGGTCATGGCCGAATGTCGATGGCGGTGCGGCCTTGTCCAACGTGAGGTCATTATAACCGTAAATATAGGGAATTGGATGTTTTGCACACTGGCGACGGCGGCGTCAACCACCAGATGATCAACACGTGGGAAGCTCCAGCATCCCCACGGGGTCGACGCGCCATTACATAGCCGTTCAATGTTCCCCAAGTGTTCGCTAACCCGCAAACTGTTACCAGACGGCATCAGCACGCATGCGGGCCAGCAAACATGTCCTCGATGAGAAGCTCGAAATCGTGCAACGGCGGGGTGGCCATCACACAACCGCGACGACATGGAATTCGCTTGCGCTGCCGACAGGGGCGTGGTAGGAACCGGTCAGTTCAGGTGTAACCCCCGCCCTGCAGGCGCAAAAGTTCCATGTCCTGACTGTCCGGAGAATGACGGTAATCGCACGGCCCTGCGCATCTCCAGTGCAGTCCGGCGCTGCTTCAATTTGCGAGAGCCATGGAGGATTGCACATTGCATCGCCCCGTGGTCCCCTTTGTCCATGAAAGCAACAAGTCCATCAAGCAGTCGACGACGTTTCTCTCGGCCGAGACTTCAGTGAGTTGCTTGACCCCGCGTGTAACATGCGCGCTGCCCCCACGGTAACGGTTCCCATCGTGAATTCTCATCGCCAAGATTCAGGAGAGGACGCAGGGCCCTCGTTTGGCGGTCAAGACGCAATTTTGCTGGACATGGCCGCTGTTGCAAGGGATGGGCAACATCGGACGGGACCGCACATGCAGCAATTGAGGAGGCTGTCATGAGGCCAACTGGTGTTTCCAGCTTCCCCCCCCCCCCCACCCCCCCACCCTGTTCACGTTGATGCCTGTCGAGTGTCGGATCACAATGTCATGGCAGCAAGCGAGCCCTCCTGTCTTCCACACTTGACGCTAGAGTCCGAAGATGATGTGTAAAAAAAAAAACACAAAAACACGGTTGGCCAGCCTGAAATCAAACAGGCTTGACAATGGCATTTGGGCCGAGAATAGCCATGGTTCACTAGCCGACACATGGTTTATCCATGAGCGCCAGGGGATAATGAACTTGGGTAGGCAGACAAAAATGCTAGATAGGCGTCGATGTTGTCAATCGCGCTCGGATGAAGCAGCCCTGTCCCTATATGTACCCAATCACCATTGGATGTATGCATGAATATTTTTGCAGCCTAAAAAAAGGCCTGCCTTTGATGAAACCGATTTCGACGTCAGTTACTAAAAGCGCAACATTCGAATGCTTGTTCTTCATGGCGGCCATGCAAGCTTCCGGGCGGCTGAAAGGCTCCGTCAATGCCGTCACTCGTCCCTTGCTCCATGTCTCATGTCTGCACAAAGTACGGCCACGCGCGTACAGAGTCCTCACCATGACCAGCACAGGCGCTCTGCATCTCGATTCTGACTGCGCAGGCCATAGCCTGACGGACACACGTGCACGGGCAGGGCGCCTCATCAGCCGAAGACGTCAGCAAGGACAGCAGCACGGCAATATATGCTGGTACGGCTACAGGACTACATACTTGTGTAGAAAACACCCCCACAGGCACCTGGACCAAATAATGACGTTGTAGCGGGCTGCCGCTATTGTGTTGAGCTGGTCTTCTTCCTTCCCTTCTGGTCATGGCACCAGGGCTCTAATCGCGGCGGCATACATACGTCCAGGCTCCATGGGGCAGTCGACGAAGAAAGAAAGCGGCAAACCCCCGGGTCGTGACGGGTACGGCGTTTATCTGGACCCAAGTGCAAATCCCCAGCGTCGTGATGCGGAATGCAGAGGCGGGCCGCTTGGGGAAGGTCTGTGGAATCTTCTCTTGTCCTTATCAGGGAGCTACGGGGTAGCATGGGGAACGGGCTTTTCCTTTCAGTAAGGGGGGCGTTGGAATACCATGATCCGGTCCATTCATTGAGCGCTTTCAGCCTAGAGACCATTTGCGCCATGTTGCAGGTTCAAGGGAGCCACAGGCCCGACGGTGAAAGGTTCTACTAGTTCAATGTTGAGGATATACCCACGGATGGAAGAGCAAGCATGGCATCCGACATCTTCTCACCAGGTTCGTCCCAGCGCCCTGATCGACAGCAAGGCCTTTCGGGATGCATAGTGCTGTTCCCGTCTACATCTCTCCTGATTTGCACTACAAGCGGTCGCGGCTTGGTCGGCTGGTTTTGCAGCCTCGAAAGTCGGGAGAACCAACGATCGACAGGTTCTCATCCGGAAGAGAACTCCGAGCGATGGGCTGAGACGAAGCATGGTGAGGATGGATGCAAATCACCCTTTGAAACCATCACTCAAAAATGCAGAACGCCAAAAACCACCACCGACCTCCCGCTCGGCCAGTTTGTCATTGTTTTCACTTGAAAAGCCTACACCTGAGCCCTGCCCGCGAATTTTTCCACATTTCCATAACCCGGGGTTGCCCCTTGTCACTCGTAGTCCCTGATTGATACACAACGTTACACGTAGTAAATTGTCACACGATACACAGTTCATCTTTTCTTAGCCAATGTATAATCCCCTCCTCTGGCGTAGCGGAGCAGAAGCGAGCAAAAAAGGGTCATAGCACATCGTATAACGGCCAGGCTAAACAATAGAGTTTGCGAGTGATCGGTGAAAGGCTGTGCGGGGGATTATATAATAGTTGGCAGACACCTCTTGCCGGCTGACAGATACGATGCGGCCGATAATGGGACCCTTTAAACTTTAACTAATAGCCCACCTTATTAGCATGGGCGTGATGGTGTGCGATGCGTGGGAAACCGAGTGATGATGTCAAGATTGCGCCCAAATTCCCGGGGGTTAGTCATCTGTTCTCATGAAGCCGTCATCGAAGCGCCGAGTCAGTACGGTGCATTGGTGTTGAGAAACGTTTGTACAATATCGGTCCCTGAGGCGTGCAAGTTTATTTCCCTCAAGGGCATTGACGAAAAGTCATGGGCGAGAAATGCATTCACAATTGAAATCAGGCTTACCCTAGAGTTGGCTACTATTTCTGGATTTTGGTTTGAGACTCGGGTATTTTAAAGCTATAGCCGAGTGACTATTTGAATGGAATGAATCATGATTCAACATATGTACGGCGATAGGTCTACGGTACTAGTGGTACCATGGGAGAGACCCAAGACCATATTGTGAGCATAGCTGAAAACCGTGAGTTGGCATGTATTTGGGCGTGCCTGCGTGCCTGCCTGGTCAGAGGGCAAGTCGAGGCCACACGCCGCCTGTTGTCGGCATATACGGCATGGGTTATTTGTGCTCTCCGACGAATATGCGTAATCGTGGCCGTGGTGAATGATTGCCCGAGAAACGTTGGCAATGGCATGCCCGACAAGTTTGCGCTTGAAACGTGCCATCATCAACGAGGCGTTTGTTCCTCCAAGAGAGGGCTCGGACTAAGAAGAAGAAAGAATATATTACTACACATGCCCGAATAATGTATATCCATAATCTGTACAATCTAAACATGAAAAGGAAAGCTAGCTTGTCAACTATTCCGCCTACAGAGTGACAGCCAGGGCCCCGACAATAATGGCAAGGGCCATGATGGGAACGCGGGACCCAGAAGCACCAGCCGTTAGAGGTGGTGAGGTCGTCTCGGGGCTGCATGTACTGCATGGCGTGTCGCTGGGCTTGGTCACGGTGGTGATGGTGCCGTTGGTGCCGGAAACTGTCGTGGGAACAGGCCCAGGAGCCGTGACGACAGCAGTAATGCCTGGCTGGGTCTCGGCGGCTGTCGTCTCAGCAGGAGGCTGAGTCTGCGCTGGAAGAGGGAGGACGCAGTTGTCACCGCAGCCGGGGACGGGGGTAGGCTTGTCGGCAGTCGTTTGAGGCTCGACGGTGACGGTGAAGACGGTCGTGACCGTGTCACCTGACTTGCATTCGCTGTCGCCCTCGCGGCAGGTGTGCGTCCGGGGAATGGTGAAGGTGGCGGTAGACTCGGGGCAGAGGTAGGTAGTCGATGTGATGACCTCGGTGGTGACATGTCCCTTGCTGCAAGACGCCTGGCCTGGGCATGAGGTGATGGTGTGCGTCTTGATGGTAGTGAATACGGACGTGATGCTCGGCGCGGACGTGATGGCTGGCTGCGCAGTAATGACAGTAGTGGGAGGTGGTTTGGTCTCGGTGGTTTGAGGAGGTATGGCGGATGGAGTTGTGTTGTCGGGGCACCAAGTTGTTACGCCCGTGATGGTTTCGGTCGTAACAGATCCTATGGGGCATCCGGTAACGTAGGGCGGGCAGGAAGTAATGGTGTGAACGCTGGTGGTGGTAAAGGTTGAGGTATAGGTAACAGGAACAGTGGTGATTTGTTCGGTACCAGTCGGGGGAGTGTTGGACGTGGTGCGTAGAGACTTGGACGTGATGCTTATATGCTTAGACGTGGTGCTTGTAAGCTTAGACGTGTTGGGGACGGTGTTGTTGTTGTCGTGGCTAGTAGAAACGAAAGTAGACGTTGTCGTGGGCTTGGCAGAGATGACGGTACTATTCTTAGCAGTGGGAATAGTGAGTGAAGCAGTAGAACTGGAACTGGCCGTGGGCTTTGCCGAGGTAATGACAGTGCTGTCATGAGCAGTGGGAATAGCAGCCGAAGTAGTTCTAGAATGAGTCGACGTGGGAGAGGCAACAGAGCTGGAGCTGGGCGTGGATTGCGTAGAGCTAATCGTGCTGTTGTGACCAGTGGGAATAGGAGCCGAAGTAGTTTTGGAGTGAGTCGAGGTGGTCGTGGGCTTGGGCCTGCCGCAGTCACCTTCAACAGACGGAACAGCGTCGGGACCCGTACCAATAGCAAGCAGCGAAGAACCGCAATCCTCATTGTTGGCAAGGTGGATGTTGCGGTTGTCCTGGTCGTAGACGGCATATGCGCCGCGCAGGAAGGTATCGCCCAGCACGGGGAACTCATCATCGGGAGTGACGCCGAGGACACAGAGGTTCTTGTCGGGCTGTTTCCAGATGAAGTCGTCGTAAGGAACAACAATCTCGGTCTTGCCAAATTTGAAGTTTACGGAGCCATTCTTGGAGCCAACATCGCAGGGAACGCGGTACAGACCAGATTTATCACCTTCGGGGGGAGCAGAGGCACCGGGGAAGGCGTCCTTGATCTTGTTGAAGTGTTTGGTGGGCAGCGCAGAAACGGTGTAGCCGCTGTCGAGAAGAACGGGCTGACCATTGGCCTGGTCGAATATCACCACCTTGGAGCCGTCCTCCTTGGTCACCGAGACGCCGTCGAGATAAATCCAGTAGCGTGTGAGCTTGTCGGGGGACTCGGCGGCAGGGATGATGGGCCGCTTCTCCAGGTGACCGGAGAACTTCTTTGTGTCGATACCGCCAAACACGACGGAACCTCGCTTGCTTGCCAAGGTGCGAATATCGAGGGAGAAAGCGCGGCTCTTGATGAAACCCTGCGCAGCCATGTTGTCCAGAACCAGCGGGTAATCGCTCTTCCAGCCCTTTAACTGAGGAGCAGCACCCAAGATACCAGCACTAGCAAACTCACTATCGGTAGCAACACCAAACATCTGCTGGCTGATTTTGGCAGATCCAATCTGGACGTAGTCGTAACCGTATTCGAGCTTGGCGAAGCCGGTCCCATATCGAATTTCGTGAGTGGTGTTGGTATCGACAAAAGTCTGACTGCCATTGAAACGACCAAGTTTATCACAGAAGCCAGGGTCTGTAGATTTGCTGCACACGGGGTTGATCCAGAGCTCGGCAGAACCAGTGTCGAAGTTGACTCTCACAGCTTGAGCAGGGGTGCCGACCTGCAGTTCAATAGAGTAAAAGAAGCCCGATTTCTCGGCATTGACACCGATTTCGTTTTGACGTCTAAGCATTCTGTTCTTGGTTGGAGCACCAGCAGCGATGTCAAGCGGGAATCGAATCAGACCAGGCTCCTGTACCATTCGATTATCCATGGGGAACTCGAGCAAGGCCTGCGTCGCCAGCGGCAGAGCCGCAAGTGAAAAGAGAGAAGACAACATGATGGCAGTTTCTGTGTTTTACAACCTCTTATTCGTACGCCGGCAAAAAGGAGTGACTGGGAAACAACGTGTATAAGACGTCTTATACACAACAAAGAAAAGAATGCCTGCGGCCCACAAAGCAAAATGAAGAAAACAACAGCTCGTAAAGAAAGAATGTATACGTTTAAAGAAAGACAAGTGGTTCAACACCACGAGGGACGGGAGAGGGAGGAGGACAAGGAAGACAAAGAAGAAGAGCAACCGGACATTCTTTCTATTTGCGGGTTCGTTCTGAAAAGATGGGTTTGCGAGCTAACATCCCGATGAGGGAACTCTCCTGGTGAGTTGGACACAAATTAGGAAAAGCCATCAACTGCATGGCGTCCAAGGAAGCGGAAGACAAGGGTTCCAGCACCTGACATGCTACCAGACATACATACTAGGCGGCAACAAGAGCGCAATTGCGCACAGCACCGATACGCCGCTGACGGACATGTTGGCAGGCACACAGAGACATGGTAGGGATGATGTCGCTTGTGTGGAAATGAGAGGCGACGTAACGCACAGTTTAGTCTGAGTGGCCTGCATGTGCAGATTAGGCGCCAGCCATGTGGAGAGCCGTTGCCAACCATGACCTGGAATTGTTTTTTCTTTTCGCTGACTGAACAAGGCTCGTCGGGATGATATTATTAACTGTTGTTGTACAACCAGACGTTTAGCTTTGACAAAGGTGTGGGGAGGACAGGGATAATGCAGGTGACGCTGAGACTCAACCTTAATAACTGAAGCCATTTGTTTCAGACTCGGCGAGCTAAATCACGGGCCCCGTCTTGGTTTGTTTCCTGTTCAGTTGGAAATCTTAACCACCACCACATTCGTCGAGGAACTGGGCTGTGACGACGAACCATGGATTCCCGATATCCCGTTCTGCCCTCCTCCAGAACCCGAGGCATGGAGAATTGCGATGATCCCTCGCCGTCTTCGGGGCGGAGGCGAGGCCCGAAGAGAGGGAGAGAGAGAGGGAGATGATCTCGCGCAGGGGCCGTTGATGCTGGTAGCAGTCCAAGAATAGCGCGCGCCTGGCGAATCACTGCCTGTTCAAGCTGGGTCGGGCGTCGGCTCGCTCAGAGGACAAGGATTTTAATCGCCCTTCTTCTCCATGTTGACCCACGAGTTTGCCGCCTTTGATCACGATCGACAGGGGCTCTCCCTGCGAGAAGTTGTGGGCGCCCAGTCAAAGCGCGGATTGTCAACAAAAACTGGCTGTTCTGGACAAAACAGGCAGCCCGGTTGTGGGCACCGGTTTAAACAACTGCTTCCCGCCTTAAAATTAACGTTAAAGTTGGCTATGTTTGTACGTCTGTGTTTCGCTCTCTGTGCCGTGGATGGATGATGTCGCCCTAG